AATCAAAATTAAGATTATCATCATGGTCGATTGATAAAAATGACATCAATTCTAATTTAAAAGAAATTCGAAAAAAAAGTAAAAGGCAAAGAAAAAAAAACAATTAGTGAACAAACTAGGGCAGAACAGCTTTTTTTACATATCGATATAATAAATTTAAAATGTTATGCCAAAAAAATATGATATTTTAATATGGGTCCATACATAGTTTTGATCTACATAGTATTTCGCACACCTTAGTGTGACATATTGTGTGACTGATCTTTTATTCTAAATTAAGAAAACTCTTCATAAAAAAACTTTTCATATCTATCCGACGCTAGATGTACAAACACAGTATTCTTGCACAGTCTTAGAAATTCCAATGATACCATAAGATTGCACTTGCCCTCGAACTCTTCTATAGTTTTATAGATTTGCTTAGCGCAGTACTCAGAGATTAAGGTAAAATTATTTGTCTTGAATAATTTATCTACCGACGAGAGTTCTCCATCATTCTTTTCACGAAGACTCGAAGCGAGTTCATTGATATAGAACATGAATACCTCGAATGTAGTTTGCAATGTTCGGTATTCCTGATATGTGCAGTTAACATCTCTCAACAGAAACATCAGCATAAGGACTGGGTAGGATGCGTGACATCTGAGCTTAAAGACGAAGTATTCATTCTGATTGAAAGATGCTTGTAACTGCTGATTCACAGAGGTCACCCATGTAATTGCTTCAGTTCGTAATAAAGTATATTTGTCTTTAAAATCTTTCTTCCAATGATTCATAAAAGTCGATAACATCTCGGATATTAACGGTGGTAAATTATTACTTCTATTTTCTAGACCATTAATAACATCAATGTAGTCTATTCCCCTAAAAACCATCAGGTCGTCGGCAATAAATAAGAAATAATAGAGCGCTTGAACTCCAGAAGAATTATGTAAGTCAGGCATAAGAGAAGCATTAAGTCTTTGATCACTTAGTTTAATATTGAGTTTGTATTCGTCAATAACACGTTGAGAAATGGTATCAAGATCATCGAAATAATTTATCGTGACATCGACGGAACGATTGATCCCGAAGAACTCCAAGAGTCTCATTATTGTTTTGCTTTCTTTTTTGCTTTCATTGAATACGAATGTCTTGTTGCTCATGTTGATGATAGTGAAAGTGATCAATTACAAGAAAAAAAGAAACGTATGTGTTGTTACGGGCAGAAATGGTTTACCAAAATTGCTAAGACAACTCTCCAGAGACGTTATGTTGGTAATTTACGTTCTTTTTATAACTTTCAAAGAATTACGGAGGCTAAAATATGACACACCTTTCTATAATCATTGTTCTCAATAGAGCCCCAAAATATTTATAAATAGTTAAGGCTTTACAACAAATCTTAACATCTATATCTATGTTGGTGGTAGAATTACTGAATTACGGCATTTTACCAGTTGGTACAGTACTATAGAATTAATTACGGCACAGTACCTAGGTTGAAAATTACATTTTACAATCTTACATTTTCATGTAATTTTGTGTAATTTTGCGAGTTTCAAACCTTTTTACTA